CATCTGTGAAATGAGGCTTCAGAGTGTATAAGTCACTTCCCCAAACCAAGCCTCGGTTTCCCCATCTGTGAAATGAGGCTTCAGGGTGTATAAGTATGTATAAGTCCCTCTCCCAAACTGAGCCTCAGTTTCCCCATCTGTAAAATGAGGGGATGGCCTTGATGGCCTCTGAGTCTACCATCTTATGAACCACCAGGAAAGTCGAGATCACGGGCCTTCCAGCCTTCTTTGGAGCCCCACTCAGGGACAAAGAGCAGGTTCTTTGTAGAATGCAGACGTGGTCCTCAACCCGCTAGTCCCAAGCAAGCACCTAAGCAGGGTCTGACAAAGCACCATGGACAACGCCTGTGAGTCATCAGAATGGCCTTGAACTGGCGGGGCCAGGACGTCTCGTCCGCAGCCAAGGCCAAAGCCACACAATGAGCTTGAAGGCTTTTCAGACTAGAAACTGGACACCCTCATGGACTAGAAAGGGGCTTTGAACAGACAGACTGGAAGGCTGATTAAATCTGGATCGATCTTGACCAGAAAAATGCGCCAGAGAGACTCTCAACCATTGCTGCCTGACTGGGAGAAGCAGGACAGGGTTTCCCACTTTCTGCCTCCTTCTGATGGGGATCCGGGGCCATTGTGCCTCCCTGTCAAGGCCCAGCAGTTTTTCTGATGAGAGACCACTCCACCTCGGAACTAGGCACAGAAGACACATGGCTAAAAGGAGAGGGTGCCGGACTCCTAAGGGCATGGATTACAGCCTGGTTTCCACCGAAGAGAGGCTAGTATGTGGTTCTGGAATAGGACCGCCTAGGTTCAATCCTCTTTCGGATACTAACCACCGGTGTGACCCATTGGGCAAGTCACAAACCTCCTTAGGTCTCAGTCTTCTCATCTGTAAAATGAGCATGGTGGCCTGTGAGGCCCCAGCCTCTCAGTTCTAGACCTGTGATCCTCTAACTTTCGGGGGCTACCCTTAGGTGGCTGTTATCTGTGATAGTGCCCTGCCCCGACCCTTTCCCCATCGAGTGTTGCAGAGTGCCAAGGACCCGATAAGACCTGGAGATATGGAACCTTAATAACCCTTGGCAGCCAGGCCGGGGTGATAGCAAAGGTGGCTACTGAGTGATCCATTCCTAGAGCTGGAAGACAAATCACCTTCAGATCACCCACATCAACCCCTGCTCCCATTTACAACGTCCCGGGCAGCTTCCAGACCTCCAACCACGGGAAATTCACTCCCTGTCCATAGCGGCTCTGTCCATTTTTGGAGAGTTCTAATTGTGAGTACGGTTCTTCTCAGCACCTCACCACCTGAGCCTTAGCTGAGGTAGGGCAAGGGGGAAGGGTAGTGTATATGTCGAGGGGTGGGGACGGGGTCAGCAGGGAACACACCATTCTGTGGAAGTAATCTCTACAGGAAGAATGTTTCCTCCAGATAACCCTGGGGCCGCCAGAGTGCCAAGACACTGAAGGCCCCTAAGATAATGAAGGGGACTGATGCCTCTCCCTACCAGGTACACAATATTTCCTTAACACACCCATCTTGACTCAACAATAGGCTTAACTTTCACTTGCTTACACAGAGGGTGGCTTCCCACCTGGCAAAAATCTGGATAAACCTCTAATTCCTCCCCAGACTCTGAGGGCAATGACACAATGTTGCACCACGAGATTCTCTCTAGAATCCCTAGTTCCCCTCAAAGTTTGATTCAATCGTCACCTCCTCCTCCAGGAAGTCTTTTCTGATTCCTCTTGGCTTCTAGCATCTTCTCTCCCACCTCTCCACTCCCCCTAAAACTACCTAATATTGATTTTGTACATATTTCTATGTGTAAATATCTTCCCCCAAGAGAACATAAGCCCTTAAGGACAGAAACGGTCTCTTTCGTCTTGATATCTCCATCCCCCGGCACATCATCTGGCACACAGCAGGATTTTAATAATAAATCAAGTATTAAGCACATTAATAAATACTTGTTGATCTATTATTGAGTTCTGCGTTAAGCAGAGATCTCTGCTAATCTGACCCATTCAGGTGAAATACAGGGTTACTGGGGTTTTTTTGTTTGTTTTGGTGGGTAACAGATCTGAACATCCAAGAATTAACTTTGTCATAGGTAACCTTGGTACTAATGATGGAGAGCTGGCCATCACGAGTTAATGGGTGGAGACCAGCCAACATGGTAGGGGAAGCAGGAAGTATGGCCAACCTCTCTCCTACAATTACTCCACAAAGACAGAGAAAACACACCAGTCTGAGTCCTGACCAAGAAATCCAAGGAAAAAAAACCACAGTGAGCTTTTTTCCCAGCCCAGGTGTACTGGAGAGATAGTGATGGACATGGCAGACCCTGTGGATGGAGTCCAGCCAGGACTATCTGAGGTGGCGTTCCAGTGCAGTGATTGTTGAAAGGGAGCTGTGCACCAGGAGAAGGGGAGGGCCCAGAGCTGGCACAGACTGGCCTGTGCTGGGAGTAAAACCAGTGCCAAAAGGTAGCTCTGTCACTCATCACTGGCTAGTGCTAGATCACAGATATAGCAGAGGAGGGACCCTGTGCTTAGGGATGGTAGCCCGGGGCAAGGGGCGATGGACTCAGGGTGCTGACAGACAGAAAGACACACACACACACACTCACACACACAGAGGGAGGACAAGGGCAACGAGGGAATTTGTTTTGCTTAACTATGCATATTTGTCGTGAGGGTTTTGTTTCCTTTTTCAATGGATGGGAGAAGAAAATGAATGCTTGTTAATTGGAAAAAAAAAATCTTCTTTTTAAGCATTAAGGGGTGTGGAGGGAGATATGGAGGATTACCCACCTGGTTTCCACTGCCATTCATTATATTCTCAGGCGTTTCATAAACCTCCGACTCCATCTGAACAGTCTGATGTTTCTCATGAGACACTTGTACTCGTAGAATTCGAAAGGAAGAACCACCAAGATCCAGAGCAATGAAATCTCCTTTTTCTGTTTAAGGAAATAAAAAGTGTCATGTCAGATGGCAGTCCTGAGAAAAGTCATCCCATCCGTCCTATCGTAACAATCCCTGCTGCTGTTCTGGGCTCTTGCAACATCCTGCCTAGGGAGAATATTTGAAGAGCTTTTGCTTGGTTTTCTTCCACCCATTCTACGTTCTAACCAATTGGGTCTGCCCACTCCTTCCCATCTCCACAGCTGTGCAGACTGCGTATGGACTAGGCGTCAGGAAGACCAGGGTGAAAGGTTAAGCATGTTACAAGCCTTACAGTGTGACCGAAATGTCAGTTATTATTATTAGGCTCTTTCCTTGACAACAAGACTCAGTCAGAAGGGTTTCTCTTCCCCTCCTGATAGAGGGATGGGGAATCAGTCTTTCCAGCTTGGGAGGAGCTGTCCAAGGTGATTGTGTATCAGCATAGGCTCTGGGTCAGTCCACATTTATTTACTGTGCCTTGAAAAGAGCTTTCCTCAGAACAGTCCTAGGAGGGACACAGCACAGGTAATATTATCTCCACTTTACAAATCATACAACAAAGACCAAGAGAGGATTTGTTTTTGCCTAAAGTCACCCAGGAAATAAGTGCTGGGAGCTGGGATGCAGAGTCACATAACTTTAGAGTAGGAGAAGGATTGGAAATGAACTCATGCAAAGAAACTGAATTCCAAGTCATTCTACTGACCCAGCTTGACCTCCCAGAAGCAATACAAGCTTCTCTGCAGAGGCAGGGGTCTGTGGGAGTGAAACACTACATTTACTGTCAGACTCAGTATCTGTGAGTTTTGCAGAATTGCTTTTCTTCTCTTTTTTAATTCTTTGGGGTGATGGCTCATTAGGCAAGGAAAGGAGAGGAACATTTTAAATCGGTAAAGGAAGAAAAGTGCTTTCAGTCATTCATCCAGGTGAGGGCTCTGTTTCACACCAGCTCCTCTGTCTAATTTGATGTGAATCTGTTCAAATATGACCAGAGGGAAGTAACCCAATAACCCCCAAACCTGGGGCTGTGCCTCCCCTGGTTTCTCAGGGAAGGGATCCTGGTTTATAGGGCTCTTCACAGTTGCCCAGTCAAAACAAAATGGTGGCACATATCTCTTAAAGGCAGAGATTGGTACGACATTGAAATGATTGCCTATGCCACACCAGCGAGCATTCACTAAACATTTAAATGCTTACTACGTAAGGCAGTGGGGAGCCAAAGTCAAGAATGAAACAGTCTCTGCCCTCCAGGGATTTACATTCTGTTTCCATGTATAATTTCCTCCTGATAGAGATATATCCCCAGATTGGAAGCTGCCTTACAGCACCTTGAACTTCTTGGTATTTCCCCCAAATCCTAAGGACAGTGCCCTGCACACAGCAGGTGCACAATGTTTGTTGATGGTAAGAACCACCATCTTGGGTCAACCATGTAGTCCATTCAGGTCAATAAAATCTGACTCCAGCCTACCATTTCCAGGCTTATTTCATGTTACTACTCTTTCATGCTTACTATGTCCCAGTCCAAATGGCTCACTTGCTATTCACTGAACTGGCACTCCATCTTTGGCCTCCATACCTTTAAAACAGGATGGTGTCTAGGCTTAGAATGCACTCCTGCCTCCCCTCTACCTTTTAGTATCCCAACCTTTATTCCAGAATCAGCACATGTGCTAGAGACGGTAACGTGGGCCCATAATCTGTCAATTAGCATTTATTAAATGCCTACTATGTGCCAGGCATTGTATTAAGCACTACTGATACAAAGACAGGTCTCTCTCCACACACACACACACACACACACACACACACACACACACACACACAC